CGGGTGCATGCTCGGCATCCCTGCGTTCGATGAACCACAACATGACAAGGAGCTTTACCAGTGGCGTTCCCAACTCGCGACGGCTATGCGCAACGATCGCGCCAGTGCGAAACACAGCGGCAGCGCGATGAAAGTGGTGTCTCGCGTCGCCCATGGCTTGAGCGTCGAGGACGACGCCCTGGAGAACGGCTTCTCGAAGGTTGTCGACGCCATGATGGTGGACGTTCGCGCAAAATACGACGGTTTTGTTGTACGCCGCACGCTTGGTTCCCTCGACTGGGAGGGCAAGGCGATTTCGGGCCTTCCCCCTTACGCGGAACACATCCTTATGCTCAAGTTGACCGGCGAAGAGTACAAGAACCTGGACACGATCGCTAACGAGGCCGCGGAACTCAACCCAGGCGGTTCTATCGCCTACAACAGCGGAAAAGTGAGTCGTATTTTATTGTAGACTGCTGCAAACCGCGCGTGCGTCCTGGACGCACGCGCGTGTGGGGCCACGTCTAGCCCACCACCCTGGAGGCAGGATGTGGGCTGAAGACGCCGGCACACCGCGCGTGCGTCTTGGACGCACGCCCGCGTGGGGCCACGCAGGATGTGGGCTGAAGACGCCGGCACACCACGCGTGCGTCTTGGACGCACGCCCGCGTGGGGCCACGTCTAGCCCACCACCCTGGAGGCAGGATGCGGGCTGAAGACGCCGGCACACCGCGCGTGCGTCCTGGACGCACGCCCGTGCTCTCGTCCTCGTTTGCAAGGCCCCAGGGCATCCTTGACGCACACCTCTTCATGCGCCATAGCGCCCAGCGAGCTCTCTGCGCGCATGCGTCCAAGACGCACGCCTTCATTGTAGTCACGAACATGACTTACTGACCGAGCGTGTTCTCTAGTCGTTCTATCTCTCCGTGCGTCGCGCACTCCTCCATCCAAGCTGTAATGCGGAATACAAGTGGACCCCGCCAACCTCACGTGAGGAGTGGGAGGCCATAGCCACGGCCAAGATCTCCGCACTTATCACCATATTGAAGTATCATTTGGAGCAAGACGCCCGCCCGCCACTCGTCAGCGTGCCCGTGGAGGATCCACCGCGTCCGCAGTCGCCCAGCTCTGACACCTCTAGTGATGAACCTGCGGCCTATGAAGAACGCCCTGCGAACAATCTTGCCCCCGATCCCGACGCCCAGCCTGATCCGCGCGATGCTCACAGCAAGCCAGACAAAATCGTCGTCTATGTCGCGTTCCCCTCGTGTTTCGACCCCCTCCTCAAAGTAAGTACATCCTGCTCGCGTCATCCTACGTATCATATCCCTCATTGCGTTCCAGATCCTGCAGATGTACGGTATCGAGTACGAGACCCTCACCGGCACCATGAGCGGCCGTCGACGTGCCGAAGCCCTGCACAAGTTCATGCAGTCCGATGCAAAGGGCGTTCGTGTCCTGATCCTCAGCAACGTCGGCGCGGTCGGGTTTAACATTGCGTGTGCCAACATTTTGATCATCATTGTAAGTCGTCTCCTGTATTTCTGCTATTTGCTCATGTCGTCTCCAGGATACCCTCTGGTCTGCGCAGGATGACAGCCAACTGATCGGCAGACTCTGGCGCCAACGACAGTTAAAGCTAGTCCATGTGTATCGTCTGATCGCCAGGAACACTTCCGACGTGTTCCTGAACAACATATCATTCGACAAGTCGATCATGCACAATGCGTTTATGGGCTCCAGTCGTGCCCTCAGTGAGTGTACTCATCACAAACCCCAGTACTCTTCAGCTCACTGTGCACAGGGCGCGTGTTCGACCCTAAATACGATCTCGACGTGGGAGACAAGGACTTGACGCATGAAGAGGAACCCCAGGAGCTGCCGGATGTTCAAGGCGCAAGCGGATCCGCATCTGCTAAATCCACCATCCCATTCTTGGCTGAAGACTTCTCCTCAGCCGGGCAACAACAGGCAGATCCCGAGCCTCAGCCCAAGCAGAGTGCCAAGGCAAAGCGTGAGGCGGCGAGAGCGGCGAAGAAGCAGCTCGAACAGCAGGAGCGCCTCGATGCTCAGCGCGAGAAGGAGCAGCGCGAACGGGAGGACGAGGAGCAGCAGGAGGCCCAAGTGGCAAAGCGCGACAAGCGGGAGCGTCAACGCGAGATGAGGCAGCGCAAGAAGCTGGCCGCTGAGCAAGCCCAGTCTAGTCAAGCCCCGTCTGCTTCTGGCTCTCGTCGAGCCAGGAAGGTGGTCCTGTCCGATGCAGAAGACGACGAAGACATCTCTGCACAGAAAGTCCGCTCCCCGCCCAAGGGTGCTACCGGGAGCAGATTCGAGCCGCTCTCAACGTATGCTCATGAGTCAGACATCAACATTTCA